CCCCAGCTTGGAAAACTCTCTCTGTGACACCGAGTCCTGAACTCTGACAATATTTCCCAACCCTAATTCCTCCCAGCACCTGATGATTGACCTCGCTGCCTGGACCTGTCACTTCCTCCCCTGGCCACCAATTATCCTCCCTTGGGGACAAAGCCAGCGTGTGAACGTGTCCCTTCTGCAGGTTCCCAAAACTCCTGGGAATTCCTGGTTTCTCCAGTCTTCCACCCCATGGAAAGCAAAATTCAGAGTGTCTGAATTGAGAAAAGAAACAACTCTGAGTGTGCCTCGACCCAGCTGAAACGGCTGAATTTTAGGGGGAAAAGGGATGTTGGGACTGGTTTTGAGCAGGTTTTGGGGTTTGTACAACCGGTTCTGGTGTTGGAGCCTCTGCCATCGCTGCTGTTGTCAAAAGGAGTGAAGAACGTGCTTTTATAGATTTATTTTTTTAATGTTTCTAGCACTGGGCGCGGTGGTGAGTGGGAATAAAACTCCAGCCTCTTCCAGCTGCCTCTCTCTGTGTGTCTGTGCTGCTGTGCGACCCAAAACCCTTCCTTGAGCTCTGAAATTGGGGACAAATCCCTCAAAATTCCAATTCCCAACTCCAGCTCCACGCAGCCTCTCCTGGTAACCGCCGATCCCAGGCTTCTCCCGGTTCCAGGGAATGGGGTGATGCCTCCTCCCTCCTGGAAAACTCGTGTGTCAGACTTTCCCTTCCCGAGCTTTACCCCTCCCTCTGCATCCCTGCGGCCGCYGGGGTTTCAGGGCTGGGTAAATCCTCTCCCCACCCATGGGACCTTTGGCTCCAGCCCAGGGTCGAGTCCTCCGAGTGCTCCTTATCCTGGCCAAGCTCTGGGGTCAGCTGGTGGAGCTCGTTCAGTTCTGTGTTTAATTATTTGTTTAATTATTYGTTTAATTATTTGTTTAATTACCCCTGCAGCATTCCCTGCCTGCTTCCCCCTTCCTTTCCCCATCTCTGCAGGAATATTTTTGTATCTCCCCACCCCAAAGGGCAGCTTTGGGTGGCTCTGTGAAACAGCATCGATGCCACGCTCAGCTGGGATTTTTGGGCTTTTTTTTTTTGGTGTCTGGGGAGAGGCTGAAAAATTAAAAATAATAAAAAAGCGAGGAGATAAAAGCAACAGGCAGAGAGGAGGAGGAGGGAAGGTCTGAGCCTGGCTGCCGGCGTGGGTGGGGACAGAACCGCGTCCCGCACGGAAAGTCCCAGCGAGGCCACCCTGGAAAGTGTCCCCGCTCCCCGGCCGGGTGTTTTGGTGGCACTGGAGCCGGTGGCAGCCCGGGGCTGTGTCGCTGCGGCCGCCCCACGGTGACTCACAACTTCAGAGGAGGCAGCACAGGAATAGTTACACCAGCGACGCGGAGGGAGTGGCTGCCGAAATATTTCAGGGCTGTGCTAAGCAACTAAAAATACACGTCAAACCCTCCTCCTCCTC